TGAAGTGGCCATCAGTCAAGGATATGGGGAGTGGTGGGGTGAGGAGTGGAAATTAAGCTTCAAAGAACATGCTATGGTGGGAAATCTGGTGGAAGATCTATCGGAGCTCATGATCTTGCTTCTTGAAGCCACGCCTTGTATTGGTATTGCCGATGAGTTTGTTTGGCACAGGAGTCCTCATCAAATATTCTCAGTGAAAAATTGCTATGAAGCTTTGCTACAGGATGTCAGTTTGGCAGAATTACAGATTGCTCCCAAGACTGCCTTGGAAATCCTTTGGGCGACTAAAATCCCTTTGAAAGCTAAATTATTTAGTCGGAGATTGATTTTGTATAGTTTACCGACAAGATCCAACCTAGCGGTCAGGGGAGTAATCTCTAACATCCATGATTTGGTTTGTATGTTTTGTTTCCATGTTGTGGAAGATATAGACCATTGTTCAGCTCTTGTCCATGTACTCGGTTGGTGTAGAGCATGTCTCGGTTTGACTTGGAATATCTTGGAGGGGTGAACATAGAGAGTGTGAATCCATGATGGATTGGTTCTTAAAGATGGAGAGGAAATGTTCAAAAGCGTCCGCGTGCTTCATACGGATCACGACATGGTGGAACATCTGGTTGACTAGGAATCAAATATTGTTCAATAATGCGATAGCTAATCCAGGTGAAATCATTTCTATGACTATTCATACTTCTTGGTGGTGGTTGGATTTTTGCTTCCCTAGAAGGGTTAAATGTAGTTATTATGAATGGTTTAAGAATCTTTCTGATTTTTTGTAGGTAATGTGTTTTTTAGTTAGATATTAATATAGTATTATTGTGCTTTGTGGTGACTTAAATGTACTTAAATTAGAGTATCCCTAATATTTCTATGAATAGATTGTTGCTTATAAAAAAAATTGTTTAATAGATAATGCATATGTGATATTTATACACGATTGTTTTTATCACTTAGAATAAAGATCTCTATATCTTTAAAACATGATAAAAAAAATTATTTAAGAAAATTAAATTGTTTTCAGAAAACAGACATAAATCAAATTACTTCATTTAAAGTAATCAGGTGAATTATTTCACTTAATGAATCAATTACAATGGAATGTTTTGGTAAATTCTAGTCACCAAGACTTGTGTGGAGTGAAAATTCTTAAAATTCAAAAAGGTTAAAAAATTGATTGTGAAAACATAATAAGTAATTAAATGGAGAAAAGGATAAAGTTGATAATTTTAAATGTGGAACAAAATTTTCACAATAACAAGTTAGTTCATAGCTCATGAAACAGGAATTTGTGTTTGGATAGAGAACACTCCTATACATGTTTAGCCAGATCTAAATTAAAGAGAAGTGTGATATAATGTGTTCTGGCCTGGGCTCCGGCTTGGCCAGGCAGGCCCAGCCCAATAATATTCTGTCAAGTCCAGTCCAGCTTGACCCGCAGCCTTCGAGCACAAGGTCCCCGGCGGACAGGTAATGCCCCTCCGCAGGCAGAACTTGCCACATCTGTGTCGAGCACAAGACTCTCCCATCGATCAGACATTGCCCTCTCCGCGGACAGAACCAGCTCCCCTGTCGGGCAGGACAACGTGTCCTTCGCACGTTCTCCACGTGCTCCCCTCCGCGGGGACACGTCACCGACCAACTGGCCACCTCCGAAAGAGCAGGTCAAACCCACTTTCCGGAGATCACGGGACAGTTGGACTAGGGCGAAGACCACGTCCTGGTCTTCACTACGCCACATAAGTCCTAGCAGTCACCTGGGTTGGGTCTGGCAATCCAGCCCAACACAAGTGACCGTTGGCCCAGCGCTGGGTCTCTCTATAAATACCCTCTTTCACAAGAGGGTCAGGTAATTCACTTCTTACCCCTTTTATGTACTTGTGATCACTCTGCCCATACGCTTACTTTAGCATCTGAGTGTCTTACAGGTACACCCTCTTCCTCTTCTTCAATACCGGTGAACAGGCAGCAAGCCAAAGACACGTGGCAGCCAGCGATCCCTTTCTGATCAAGTCAAATCATAATGAAATCAACATTTTTTAAATTCAAATAAAACTTAATCAATCATTGTCATTTTATTAGACATGACAATGGGGTGGGGAGGATTTCAACGGCCCCGCGTTCAGCCTCACCCCATTGAAAAATGGGTTTTTTCTACCCGCTTCGTCTTTCACTCACAAAATATATTTTTTTAAATATTTTTTATAATAATAAAAATTAATATTTTAATTAAATATTTAATTATTTTAATAATAAATTTTACAGAATAAAATAAATTTAATAAATTTGTTTTTAATGAGCTTTTCTTTTTCTTTTTATTATAATAGATTATAATAAATATATTTGTAAAGAGTAAAATAACTCTAACAAATTTGTTTGTAAAGAACAATTAGTTATGTTAAAATTGTCGATGTATATTTAAAGATTTTAGAAGTTAAATAGGTACTTTGTACTCTATCATTTGGATGATATTTGAAAAATTTCTAATAAAAAATCAAGATTTGATCTTTAACATTTTAAGATTCCATTATTTTGAACTTTTTTAAAATCTAATTAGCAGAATTTTTAACATTACAATTTTTTTTTTAATTTTTATTATTATTTTCAATTATGTAGATGAATTAATTGATCATTTTTATTATTATTTTATTGTTTTAGTGTTAAATGTCAAAATTAAAAAAAAAAAAAGAAAATACCCCTGGAGATATTAAATCTATATGACGTTTTGCATCTAGCAAGCACTTTGCGCATTCTTTTGTTCAGAGATTTCCATCAAAATTATATATTACAAATGTTATAATTGAAAAACATTAATGTTATATTATTTTGATTTTATAATTATTAGTTAACTTATTGGTTTTATAATTATTAATTTATTACTTAAATATTTATTTTATATTTATTTAAATATTTTAATTCATTATTTAACTACATTAATAATCTTTGACAATAATAATAAATTAATATATAATATTTATTCAATATTACATATTTATTTAGTTAATAATACATAATTTTTATTTGAATATTTAATATAATATATTTATTTAATATTGTATTTTTATTTATTTAAAAATAAATTAATATTTAGTCAATAATACAGAATTTGTATTTGAATAGTTAATAACACATTAAATATAATACTTATTTAATATTATATATTTATTTTGTTAATAATACATGATTTTATTTGAATATTTAATATTATATATTTATTTAATATTATATATAAATTTAGTATTATATATTTATTTAATATTATATATTTATTCAATATTATATATTTATTTAGTTAATAATACATAATTTACTATGATTTTATTTAATTTGATTTTATATGATATTTATTAATACATTTTTATTAATGTCTTAAAATTATGTATTATTAACTAAATAAATATTTAATATTATATAAATATTATATATTAATTTATTATTAAATAAATAAATATATAATATTAAATATTCAAATAAAAATTATGTATTATCAATTAAAAATATATATAATATTAATGTATTATTGTTGTCAAAAGATTATTAATGTATTTAAATAATGAATTAGAATATTTAAATAAATATAAAATAAGTATTTAAATAATAAATTAGTAATGGTAAAACTAAAACAATATAAAATTAATTAATAAATTAATAATTTAAAAACTAATAATGTTAATTAATAATCGTAAAACCAAAATAATATAACATTGATGTTTTTCAATTATATCGTCTAATATATAATGTTGATGCAAATACTTGAGCAAAAGAAGTGTGGGCCTAGTCGTAAGGTGTGTTTGTTGAATGCAAAATGTCCTTAGATTCAAAATCTCCAGGGTTGTATTTTTGAATTTTGACATAATCTTAAATTTTTGTATAGGAGAATTCTTCAAAAATCACCTTAATAATAGGGGGCAAAATACCTATTAATTAAAAAAATAATATTTATTTAACAAAAATTAACTATCAATCATACATATTAAAAAGAATAAAGATATTTTCTAGATTAAATTTATTAGACCGGAGGCATGACGGGACGGATGCGGGGCAAATATACGTATCTTTCGATCTTACTCTTATAAATAAAAATCAAATTTTCCTCTTGGATTTTTTCATCATGCCTACCTTCTATTCATTTTTAATATATTTTATGTTACATTTCGCATCAAATTTATTACTGAGTCTTTAGAATATATCTATTTTTTATGAAGTACTAATAGTTTTTTTTCTCAATTTTATTTTGAATATCAAAAAGTTCATAAATTAAATCACATTTAACTAAATGACATCATGCTTTTTTAAAATAAATCATCTGAAATATTATTTTATCTTTAAATCAAATTACTTTCGGGAAAATGCTTATTCACAAATGGATATGTTTTTAAAACGGAGTGTAATATTAATAAGTTATTTATTTAGAGAGAAATATATCATTAAAATATTTAAAAAGTTATAGAGAACTTCAACTAAAATAAATTTTGTAATGTAATTTTTTATTTAAAGACATAAGCATATTGCTAACTTTTATAACATATAAAATGAACAAAATTAACTATACTACTAAATCTTTATAGCAACAAGCAAGAGGATTACATTTAAAACAACTATTAGTGCTTTCTTTATTAACTAGTCAAAAAGTTTTATATTTTCAAGTAATTTTCTGCATTCTAAAGACCACATTACATGAAATATCAAGTGATAATTCCTTTTCTAGGACAAGATTCATCCAATTCTTAGCTTGGTGCCTCTACTTAAATCTCACTAACCTTATTAGATCAACATGAAGATTAGCTAAAATTGCTCAAAATTAATTGATGTAAAAGATCATTTGGTACATAATTATCAATAAATTATCAATTACAATTAAAAAAAAAATGTACAACTAGAGGTACATTCAATCACAACTTTAGGTTTCAAGTAACCTTCAGCCAAATGCTAGAAGGGATATAATAAGCATCCCTAAGAATATTTATGTCACATTTGATCATGTTGAGACAACAGAATTTTGATCATGTTGAGACAACAGAATTATAATGCTCACCAAGCCCAAAAGCATGCTTATGGTAAGAAAGCATGATACTGGAACTAGACGAGCCAATACCGCCGTCCGGTTTATACTCCTTTCCCATCTCCACATCAGGGAAGGACCCTGAAAATATCACAATATGCTTCTTCAGACAGTGAGTCAAGGCACCGAGCTCTAGTTGTCCTCCCCATATTGCTGTGGATTCTACTTCTTTGCAATAATTTTCAAACTTCTGAGCAATTGATTCATCAGAATCACCTTCGATTAAATTCTCCGACAGACAAAATGGAAGGAAATCAGATGTATGCTTTCTCATGTAAGCAGCTGCCAGTTGTCGAAGTTCTTGGTATGTATATGGAGATTTACCCCCAGAGAGGTGGCCCAACTGATTCTCAAGAGCTCTGTAAAGGCAATGCCCGTCAGGCTTTATTTCACAAACAGTCAACCCGAGAGGTTTCAACTTCCTTTCCAGTTTCTCATTTTCAACCATGCGATCACTTATAATGTCGTTCTGCTCTGCTTGGATTCTCAGTTCCCTCTCTGCTTCTTGTTGAGCTCTTTTGTCACGCCTCTGTTTGGCCTTGCTGACCTTTGTATTCTCAGGTTGAGTACTAACAGTTACTCCAGCTATGGCTTTCACCAAATTGTCTAAATTGCTCTTTTCATTTCCGTTACCGCTACTATAGCCTAATGTAGACAATTCTTTGGCATGTTTCTCCTTGAGCTTAGTAGAAAGTTGAGAAACCTCTTCCTCCACTTGCTTTTTCTTAGTTTTTTGCTCAGCTTTGCTACCTCTAGCTGCTTGCTTTTTCATTTCAACTTCTTTTTTCTGCAGTTGTGATATCTCTTTCCTGAAAATACAAGTCATGTGGACAAATATGCATTGTGTGAGAACCATAAGAGCCTAGGGAAGGTATTTGTGTAGCATACATGATTGTCAAATTTAAAAATCTATGTAAGTTCATGGAATCTGTAAACTCAACACATAAAAGTAGCAAGAGTTTACTTAGTACTATGTAAGGGGCCAAAAATTAAACTGAACAGATAGGAGCAAAATCTCTTTTCACTCAATTTGGCACATCTCCAATACCAGAAGATTTGGTCGGGAAAGAAAACGGCATTAAATATTATAAATAAACCAACTACCATATTTTTACATTAAATGTAACATCAAAGTTTATAAATGTATAAAAAGTAAATGGCTTATATTTAAAATTCACTCTCCTTGTGAACCAAACAAGGAGAAGGTTATTTCCCCAGCCCTCCTTTGAACCAAACACTACATAAGATAAATATTTTGTAAGCAACCAATAAATTAAACACAGTTGGGTTCACCATAGCAAACCTAGCATTAAAACTCAAAAAAAAAAATGGATTTACAACTTGGCACACACACAAAAAAAAAAGTTCAAAATCAATTGACAATTTAAAGTTTCAGCAAGTTTGGTGTGTTAAAATAGAAACAGATTTTTAAAGAAGACAAAATAAAAAGGGCAACCTAAGGCTACAACATAGATTCCACCATGGTGAGATCCAGGAAAGGGCCAGACCCTTTGAGTCTATAGAAGATAGCCCTGTCTTAAATTTGCAAGAGGCTGATTCCATAATTCTAACCTGTGAATTATTTGTCAAATAAAAAAAAACACAAAGCCTAATTTTGATTCATGATATTTTGGAACCTATATCTACAAGAGTGAGTCACCTGTGCCGAGCAAGAACCTCATCACGGGTCTCTTCCTCCTTTTCAGATGCTTTGCCCGAAATCACTTCTTGCACCTCATCAATTTCTCGGGTATCCTCCATTGAAAAAACCCTAAAATTGAAACAAAACAAGTTATAATAACAGCATCTAATGCACCAAAAGATCCTGAACACACTATTTCTATCCTGAATTTTAATTATCCAAATGTTTAATCCCTAATAGCGAAAATCAGTTACTATAAACAGCTTTGAAAAAGGTAAGTTGGCAATGGAATATCAATGGGGAGTGGAGCTCAGCGTGACGGAAATCTCCGCCGCTTTGCAGCGGCGGCAAGCACCGCAATAAAACCCATCAGAAAATTCGTAAAAAAAAGAAGAAAAAGAAAAAAGTTTATGAAGATAGAAACCTGACGAGCTTTCTCACTGTTTCCGACTGACGACAAATCGCTGCGACTCTTCAACTCCAACTTGACGGAGATGATGAGTTTTTTTTGTTGATTTAGGGTTCTATTGTTAAAATGCGTTTTTTCTCTAGTTAATGGATCAATTGGGCTTTTTTTTTATATATAAAATGAGGTTTTTTCCTATCACCCAAATTTTATTTGGAACCTCACACCCCTATGTTTTTATTATAATAATTTTGTGATTTTTTAAGTTTTTGAAAAATTGTGTGTTTTCTGGATTTTTGAAAATATATAAGTTTTTATTGAAAATTTGAAAATTTTCACGAGCTTTTATCGAATTATCGAGAAATTTATGAATTTTTATCAAATTTTTGAAGAATTTTAGAAATTTTTATCGAATTATTGGAAATCTATAAATATTTACTAGATTTTTAAAAAATTATCGAATTTTAACAATCGGATTTTTCAAATACACTATCGAAATTTTTAAAATCCTATGAACTTTTACTGGTTTTTCAAAAAATTTACGATTTTTTTAATTTTTCAAAAAAGCTATGAATTTTACTAGATTTTTCAAAAAAAAGTGTATTTATCGAAATTTTCAAAAAGTTTAGAGTTTTTATTTGATTTTTTAAAAGTATATGAGTTTTTATTGGATTTTTTAAAAAAATATATGAGTTTTTATCAAATTTTTTAATAAGAATATAAATTTTTGTCGAATTTTTCAAAATACACTCTCAGATTCTTAAAAAATCTCTGAATTTTTATAAGATTTTTCAAAATACACTACTGAAATTTTATAAAAAATTTTAAAATACTTCAAAAAATATGAGTTTTATAAACTGAATTGAAAGTCCCAATTGAGTAAGCTTGTATGAGTTTTTTTTTAATTAAGGCAAATCTATTCCTTTTTGATTTGATGATAATGTATGTTGTTGTTGTATGGAATTTGTCAAGCAAATCTATATTCAACAAATATTGACAATGAACATCAAGATTTTCCCGACCAAAAGAAACATTAACCATACAATTAGTTTCTTTACATGCATGTTTTTACTTTTGTTTCCATTGAATAACCTTCATCTATAAAAGAAAAATACATTCTTGTTGCATGCTCCCAAATTGCAAACTCGCCATTAAAGCTATCAATTTCATTAACTTCACTATCAAAATTACACAATAAGAAGTATTCAAATTGTTTGAACTATCCATTAACTTTTAATCATTGATGTCACACCAAATTTGGAAGAAAAAAAAATGAATATTTCAATTAAATCCTTCATAAAATTATATATCTCTGCAAATGAAATTATGAGTATATAATATTAAAGAAAATTCGTCTCCTAATAATAACAAATCTTTAAAAAAAATATATGGGTCAGTGAATATTTTCAACCAATGTCATAATCAAAAGAAATTTTGAAATCATATCTCTCGGTATTTTTAAAAAGTCATAATATTAGAGCAAATATAAAGATCCATACAATACTAACCTCTTGCAACAAGTTAGGATGAAACTTGTTTATTTGATTAACATCAATGAAAGTTCTAAGTTATATGAAAAATAAAAAGAAATAAAGAATTAAGTTTGTGAGAACTAAAGATACATGATAGTGTGGATAATTTCTTAAGAGTGTGAGTTAGATTAAAGAGAAAATGAGTTGGTTGTTGAGAAAGGGATAAATGAATGGTCGAACGAGAAAGAAACATGAAGAAAAAAGAAATGAGTATAATATATATATAATGAGAATTAAAAAAATTATAAATTAAAACATAGCATACATACAATGTTCTTAAAGTTGTTAAAAGAGATGTTAAAATATCATTATTATTGTATTTTCATAGTGTTTTGCATTAGTGCATAAGACACTTTTGGTGAAGAGAGAAAGAGAGAGAGAATGAATAATAAGGTTTGAATGTGATTATTATTGAAGAATAAGGTATGTCGATATTCAGTTATTTGGTGAAAATGTAAGTCAACTGTGTTTCACTCGAGCAATGTCTCACTTCAAGTTTATCATAGTTTACCTTCTCCCTTAGGAAATGAAACCTAACCTCAACGTGCTTACTCCTTCCATGTAGAACGAGATTATTTGTAAGATTAATGGTTAACTTATTGTCGATCTGTACCACCAGAGGTTTCTTCACTTCGACTTTCATCCCTTTCAACACATATCTGATCCAAATTGTTTGACAAGTAGCATAGGATCCTACTATATATTCAACCTCATATGATGATAATGTCACCAGGGGTTGCTTTCTCAAGCACCATAAGATTGGGGCACCAAATACTTGAAAGAAATAATCATTTGTGCTTATTCGATCTTCCTTACCTCCACACCAATCAATATTTGAATAGCAGTTAATTACAACTTCTTTGCTTTCAAAATCTCGTCGAAATAGGATTCCACAGTTCATTGATTCTTTTAGGTATCTCAAGATTCTTCTTACAACCTTCATGTGTGACACCCTTAGTTCACTCATGTATCTGCTCACTTAGCCGACTGAGAAACATATATCAGGTTAAATATTGCACACATATCACAGATATCCAACAACTTGTTTGAACAAAGTAACATCTGTTATGTCTTCCTCTCCATTCTTCTCCAGCTTCAAATTTGGTTCGGTAAGTGATGATGCAGAATTCGAGTCTTCCATCCCAAATCTCTTGAGTATCTCTTTGACATACATTCTCCAAACTATATCTTTGAAATCCATGCCTAGAAAGTATGATAACTTTCCCAGATCTAACATTTCAAATTCCTTCTTTATCAACTATTTGAACTTTGACAAGTTCTCTAAACTATTTACAATTACTAACAAGTTATCAACATATAAGCAGATGATTGTTATATCTTATGCCACAACCTGAACATAGACACCATACTCAGATTTACATTTAATGAATCCCAATTCGACCAAGTATTAGTCGATCTTCTTGTTCCATGCCCTAGGTGCCTGCTTGAGGCCATAGAGAGCTTTGTGCAGCTTGTATACTTTCTTTGCTTCCTCCTGTATCACAAACTCGGAAGGTTGTGTGACATATACCTCTTCATCCAGAGGACCATTCAGAAATGCTAACTTCACATCTAAGTGAAATGTCGACCAACCTTGCTTACATGCTAAGGCTACCACCAATCGAATAGTCTATAATCTTGCTACTGGTGCATATACCTCAAAGTAGTCGAGTCTTTCTCTCGAAATAAATCCTCGAGCTACTAATATTACCTTATGTCTTGCTATCGATCCATCACTATTATGCTTCAACTTGAACACCCACTTCACTTTGATAGCTTTTGCATGTGTTGGCAATTCGACTAACTCCCATGTGTTATTTCTTTCGATCGATTGTAACTCTCCGATCACGGTTTCCTTCCATTGTTTATCTTTGAAGGCCTCTCTATATTTGTTTGGTTCATCACCTGCAAGTAAAGTGAAATAAACCAAATCTTCATTTGATGTGACTTCATTATCACCAACCACTTCACAGTCTTGAAGCCTTATTGGGAGTACTTTGGTTCTTTGAGGTTTTTGGCTTGTGCTAACCACACCCTATTTATTGTCCACTTCGACTTCGACACTGACTCTATTATCATCTTCGATTTCAACTATTTCTAGAGTGTCATTAACTGGAATTTCTTCGTACTCACTACTTTTTTCATCAACTTCATAGTCTATCAATGGCTTGTTAGTCGCATCACCTGTATTCCAATCCCATGTAGAATTCTCATCAAACACAATGTCTCAACTCATCATGATCTTATTGTTCATTGGATTGAATAACATGTATACTCCAGTCTTACGATATCTTATCAAAATCATAGATTCACTTTTATCATTAAGCTTTCTTCTCCTAGCTTCAAATCCATATCTAAATTCTATTATTAAATAATGTAATCCTTGAACTCCCTACCTTCCAATTTCAACAATCCTTTTTCATGACAGTCGAATACCAGAACTGGTAGACACAGTATTTCAGTGGCCACTTTTCAGAAGATAACTTCCGGAAGAGATTATTTGCTTCATTCCGAAAGAGATTATATGGTTATAAAATGCTCTTGGTCCTTCTCTAGGAGAACTATGTTTTTGTGGATGGCGGTATGGATGTTCAAATTAATCGGTTACTTGGGTTATCCATATCCATATCTAAATTTGATTATTAAAAATTGGTTAATTATTAGCATGATTTTAATCAAATCCATATTTTGAACATATTATTAGTATGGTCTTAACTATATTCATATTTTGGATATCCATTAAATAATTTTGAAAAGAAAAAACTTCTTAAACTTTTTATCTTTTTTGAAAAAAAATTAATAAAAAAGTATAAGATTTTTTTTTAATTTTCGGAAAACAATTTTCTTTTTGAAAATTAAAAAAAAAATGTTTTTTTTTTAATATTTTTTCTAAAGATAAAAAATTATTTAAATAAACGATTTCTATCTTTATTTTTGGAAAAAATATTTTTGCCTAAAAATAATATTTTTCCCCAAAATACAAAAAATATGTTTTTTTAATAGTTTTGAAAAAAAGGAAATAAGACTTTTTTTTTTGAAAAAATAATACTTTTTCCTAAAAAAAATATGTTTTATCATTTTAAAAAAAAAAATTCTAATTTTGTTTTTAATTTTTGAGGAAAATTTTTTTTTTCAAAAATAATTCAGATCAAAACTAATTATAAAACTTGTTATGGATATA